CGCATTTTGGCCCTGGCCTGGTTGGGCAGCTGGTCCTGGTGGCATGGCCGCTGTTGGCGGTATGCCTGATGGTTGGGGCACGTTTTGGCCCGTGGGCGTGGTTTGGCCCATCTGTGGCTGAGCTTGGCCCGTTGGGGCTGCCGCCGAGATAGGAGGGCCAAATAGGCTTAGTTGGCCTACTAGTGGTGGTTGCACCGTTGGTGTACCACTTTGGCCTCCTATCTGTCCTTGCGTAGCTGGTGGCCCGAACATAAGGCTCGACTGGCTGGTCCGGTTTGGATCCATGCCGCTGGTGTGAGCCTGCCTTGTGGCTGGTTGTGGACTAAAACTGAAGTCCATGTTCGGGAATATCGACGGATACAAGGACGGGTATGGTGGCCTTGATCCGAAATAACTGTGGCTGGGTGTTGTCTGGCTCGGGTCAAAGCCTAGCCCGCTTGACGTAGACGGATGAGTCTGCGTTGCGGGCGTCACTATTGTCGTTGGACCAATAGTGGCAGTTGTGGTGACCGGGACTGGTGGTGGCGGCAGTGTTACTGTCGCCGTTGATGTTCCGCGGTCCACCGGGCTGGGAGGCGTAGGTATGGTTGGCCCCTTTGGGGGATCTCCAACCAGTGGTCCTTCCACAGCCATATTCACTTGGTAATTCTGCTGTTGATACACTGGCTCTCGGTAGAAGCGTTGGCCCTGCCGCAGAGCCTCGTCGACTTTTTCTTGTCGACGTTGTGTGTCCGAGTCCGGAAAGGTATGGTAGGACGGTGGTTCTGCGGACAACTCGGAGTTTAAGTCCACGAGATGTGATTTCTCCGCATCTAAGCAGGCGTTTTCCGTGCTTAGCCTTTCCAGTTCCTCGTTCATTTCGGTTATGCGTTGGGTGGCCGCCTGGTAGTCTTTGACCAGGCCGGCATTGTTGGCCTCCAAGGTGATGATCCGGTCATGTTGGCCCTGGATCACCTGTTTGGCTTGAGCGAAGGCCTGCTCCAATTGGACAAAGTTTTGATGTCCAATGGTGCTGTTCTGCTCGAGTTGTACCCGAATGGTTGCTTCGGTGTTGAGCTGGCTTTGGAGGGCAACGATCTGTTGCTGGAGTTGCACGTTCTGTGCCTCCTTCTGTTGAACCGTTTGGCTCAACAGTCCTCCTTGTTGGATAGTCTTCATGAGGTTCTGGTGACTCTCATAAAGGAGGTTGTAGCCGTTCCGCAGGCGGTTGATTTCGTCCTGCAGGTTGGCCATGTCTTCGGTGAGACGCTCGTTTTCTCTCTGTAGGCGGTCCGCCTCAGAGTCGGTGTCGTCAATGGTGGTCCGGGCCGCAGCCAAGTCATCCTTGGCTTTGGCCAGCTCAGTCCTCGTAGAGGTGAGCAGGGCTTCAAGGCCCGCCACAGCCGTTTCCAGGCTGTGGATTGTCCTGTTGAGCTGGTCTCGCTCAGCATTGGGACATGGTGACAACTTGAGCTGGGTTAGCTCAAGTTGGGTCTGGGCCAGTATGGCCGAGACGCGTTTGGCCTCTGCGTCCGATTGGACCGCAAAGTTTTTGTGCCTGCAGATCTCGTCCTGCATCCAACGTTCGGATAGCAGGGTTGCTTCTGCAATATCCGCCAGCTGTTTGGTCAGGTCCCGTACTGTGGTCCTGAGTTGGTCGATTTCGTCGAGCTCCTCAGGCCGGGTTGCCTGGTTCAGCTTTGGCGGAGTGACGCTGGCGCGGGTTGTGTCCCAGGAAGGCCGGTTTAGGTCCATCCTGGCTGTGGCCCTGCTAAGTTGTGCCAGGTCCACAATTGGCTCTTCGTCCGGTTTGGACGGGCCAGACGCGCCGATGACGTCATTGGTTGGCGATGGCGTTGCAGGGGTTGAGCCATCAACTTCAAACATGATGGGCGACTGACTCACGGGCTGTTGGCCCTGGTCATGTGCCTTTGGACCAGCCTTTTTGGCTTGGCCCTTTGCCTTGCGTCCACCTTTGGCCGCCGTTGGCGCCTCAGGTTGGATCTGGTCCAAGCCCGATAGGGCTGGACGTGCTGTCAGATCCTGGACATCAAGGTTGGACCGGGCCAAGTTGTTTGGCTCTGGTCCATCAGTGCGTGTCTTGTCCTCACCTGTGGCTGCCGTTGGCGCCGCAGGTTGGACTTAACCCGGACCAGGTATGGCCGGTTGGTGCGCCAAGTCCCGAGGACACTGTTGGCCTGGGCCGTCCTATCGGCGCCAGGTTGGCTGTCCAGAGGCTGGTTGGCCCCGGACAGTTCGTCGGATGCCTCCTGGAATGTGTCGTCCCGGGTGGCGTCCAGACTTTCATCACTGGTTTCCAGGTCAGCCGGCAGGATTTGTTTGTCCCGCCTGGCTTTGGCCTCGACCGAACTCGTTGAGCCGGCCGAGTTTGGCTCGTCTGGTTCAGAACCGCTCTGTTTGGCCCTGCGGAAACCGTATGTTCCCGGTGGGTCGCGTGTAGCGTAGTTCTTCCCCAGTTGCTTTTTGTATTCGTTGGGTTGGCGCCTGTCCATTGGACTGAGCAATCTCCGTTGGAGTTGCTCATGGCTGGTGTATGGCATCACCTTGGCCAAGGCGCTTTCGGTTTGGCCCATGGTAGTGGGACCAGAAGTTCTTTGGTCTTGGTCCGGACCGGAACGTTGAGTTGGCTGTCGCTGGTTGGTGCTGGTCAGGTGTGCTAGAGCTTAGGATCAGCGTTAGCTCCCTATGGCCCTAGTTTACGTTACTGACCAGTGTGACGTCACGTACGAAATGGTCTTGCAAAAAGCTCTACGTCACGAGTAGCGTGCCGTGAGCAAAAAATGCAAAAAAGTATGAATCACTACGGCTGTTATAACACGGGGAAGTTTCCCACGCGTTCTGATTGGTCAAAATTTTATGGAAAATCACCACGCTGACGTCACGCGACTTTTTCGCGAAAATTCCGGCTGGACAAAATGGCGGTTGTTTTTCGCCGATAATTCGTCAAAAATTAGGATAAAAATTCTCGAGAGTTCTGTTTTATTTTTTTTAGTACAGAATTTCACGAGGATTCCGAAAAAGCAACTTTTATGCAAATCGGACAAACGGTTCAAAAGTTATGAAGGGTTTTAGATAGGGTTCTACGCGGAAACCTCGAATTTTTCAAAGTTCTACGAAGCAGCCCGACGCCTTCTACCAGGCAGCGCTTATTTGGTCAACAGGGACGTACCGAACGCAGTTTTTGCGCCGGGAGCCAAAGCTGCGGGGGACCTACTTATAGGCGCCGACCCGTATGTAGTCCGTCGCGCTGCAGGTTTCCAGTGAAACCTGTATGATGCAGGAGATATGGTCGCGGGATTGCTGGCCTATTTATAGGCGATCAGCGTAGTTCGACCGATGCCTTCACTGGGGATCAGAGGTCTCGTTGGAAGGAAAACCGAACGAGTCTGCTACCATGTCAGATATGACACAGAAGCAGATGGAAAATGGGGCAAATATCGCCTTTATTGGCACAATAAAGCAACAACAACAACACAAAAACCAACAGAAAACCCAATGCGGGAAAAGCTGGAAAACGTGCCTGCAGTGCGCTGGTGAGGAATCGTGATTAATGATTCCGCGTGCTGCGGGTATGCAGCAGCTGATGCTGCAAAGCATGGAATCGCCCGTAGGCGCAGGGCTCCACCCCCAAGAGTGCAGAGAAATGCGCTGATTGGTCAGCGTAGACAAAGTATACGCTGAGTAAGCAGCGTAATAGCGCGGCACGAATGGAGTAGCCATGTGCGGGCGGGCGACAGAGCAAAGCCACAAGAGGTGTCTACCGCCTCGAGTGAGCGGTCTCTGACATAACCATATCCAGTACTTAAGTGCTGAGCGCGGATGTGCGAGGCTACCTTGGATAGTAGATTGGCAGGTAGATGATACAGGTAAATACAGCCAGTACCTATATAGTGAGAAGTACAGATAACTTGATGCCCGAGAAATCTGAACCAGCAGTCAGATGCGTGAATGCAGGATGCGTGAATGCAGCTCATCAGCCGATCCCATGCGCTTCTGAGCATGCCATTTATGCATAATTATATTTAATTACTTTTAGCGATTATTTCAGTGTTCAAATTTTGACTTTAGAGTGCCCGCGCTTTTACCTCGTGCTAATTTAGGGGCGGCTGCCTCATTTAAAATCACTTTAAAGGTATCACATTACTGAGTAAAGTGAAAGATGCCAGCAGCTAATCACAGAAATCTATCTACTTGGCCAGTGGTGCGTCAATGCGTCGGTCTTCCATAAAACGATGGCAATTAAATGCAGAGCACGTGACTGCAATGCAGTGTTTCAGAATCAGAGTGAGATTCAATTCCATTTGCGCATCGTAATGTCGCGTCCCAGCGGGCGACGTTGAGCATGTTTGTAATAAAAAATCAATAACTGTTTAGCTACGCTGCTTTATTCTTCGTGGCAGCAAACCCCGCTTTCTTTGTCTCAATCGCGGCTAGGCTCGCTTTGTGTACCGGCTTGAAACGAGTCTGTTCCGCCGTGCATCTTAAACAATGCTAACTTTCCGCGCCTTTATGCCGACTGACAGATTACTATGGCTTCTTCATCAAATTCCATCAATCATTTTCCGCATAGTCGGCGCGCTTTCAGGAGTATAATATGCCGAGTCCTCCAGGAGCGCAAGTTATAGTATCAGTGTAATCAGTCAACCAACCACGTACCGCCAAAATGAAAGTGTTAGCGCCTGTGCGGCATTATAGCCGATCTTATTGTACATATGTATTAATAGTCCTCAGTTCGTTGCCGATAAACCCGGCTCATCCGGTTGATCGCACCACCACCATGACTTTAAAATTAACCGAAGATGATCTCGTCATTCTTTTAAGTTCATACCACAAGCTAACGAATCTTTCACATGCCGACGAAAGGTTATTGTCGCATCATATGGGAAAAGTTATCGATATGTTTTCTAACTTTTCTGCGGATGTGTTTCCATTTGTGGAGCCCGATAATGAGTTGACACTGTTGTTTCGTATAATTGCCACAACGATGCATTCTGCCATTCATATTGGGAGTTTCGGGCAATGTCCTGCTTATCTTGGTGGCCCATAAATTCAGCTTTCTCACGCAGCCCGTGTACACCTATTTGGTAAGCGTGATAGTCAAACCCGCTGAACAATTTTTATTAGTAAATCACACCTATCTCTGCAACGGTAGCATGACTGTTGTATGTCTCAAAAATTATCGTTATTGCTGAGAAGCCACGCTGTAATTGTACTGGTACTTTTTCATACAACAGTTTTGGCATTTTGTCTAAATTATTGACAGACGTATTCTGCTGCTTTTATGCGGTTAAATGGATACCACAAGCCACTTATCACCTTTATTCACTGCTACGATGTACAAGCGAGACTGGAAACTGTAGCAGGGCCTTACATAACTTTCTTTTGAATCACTATAACAGCGTTAAGCACCCGGTGCCAACGTTCTTAAAGATAAGTTCCTTTTCATGGTATTTGTGCGAGCGTGGTGTGAGAGAGCGAGAGGAAGGAAGACAGACGTAGAAAGGCGACCGAGAGAAGCCTGATTAAATATTGATATTTTCGGTACCGCCGCGTGCGCTTCTTGGGACTTGGGCTAATACACCGTTCATTAAAGTGAATTAGGTTGGCAGCATGTCAAGAGTCAGATATTGTGAAACGGACAACAGGATGTCCGTTGCGTACCGCTAATTTTGATTCGGAGAAAATACTTGCTGAAATAACTTAATCGATACTTTAATCTGTAACATTACTAATTGCTCGGCCTTCTAAATCTGCAATAGCTGGAAATGGTCTGTCAATCTGTTAGAAAGTCAAAAATAACGTGAGTTCGTAATTACTTCCTTGTCACGTATCTTCCGTATTGTGCTCATTATACACATACCACGCATCCACTAATTGCTGCTTTGTTTACATGCATGGGTCATCGGCTAAACTGTTCCTTGCATTTATTTACCAGCACCTCAGAAGTACATATTTACGTGTTCACTGCCATCACTGCCATCATCATGGCAGGAGCAAGTTTTGTCATCCATAATGCGGTGCCTTCTGCGTATTGCCGTTCACTTAAATTAATTAAAAGCAATACAATTACGCTCAGATTGCGAAGGCAGTATTCATGGCGGCGCTGAGGTTATATGTGTATTCTGATTACTTTGTATGGGCTCGGACTACAAACCATGGTTGTACATAAATTAGAAAGTTTGTACTGTATATAGTATTTGATATTAACACCCGCAAACACAAGTACGAGTACACACTAGTAAAAATAACACTCATCACACTGATGAGTGTTATTTATAACACACGATCAACTTACCATTAGGTAACCACTTTATTATTGTGTGACGCCAAAGAGTGACCTTTTTTTCTACTACAAGATTGTTTTCGAACGAAGACCCAAACATTTTGGTCGTAAAAAAGAATAGCTCTCACAGTGAAGTCATCATCAAAACTCCTGCTAACCGTCAGGGGATAAAGGTTGGATCTATGGGGCACGTTTACCTACTGTGAGATTACGGACCCGCGTCCCGCGATACATAAAATATAGAGCCCATGAGCGAACTCACCGTTGTCGGTACTAATCGTGTCAGCCGTTAGCTCGTTGTACTCTTTCTTTACGTCCTTCTTCATTTGCACAACTTGTATTTAGCCGCAGAGTCGGTATAAACTTTAAAAGTTGCAAGACATTTGAATTATGTGTTTGTTTCCAGTAACCGTCTGCTTAGAGCTGGTACTGTGGATACGTAGTGGACGAAGATGAAGAAAATTTTACACCACCAATTTTGCATGTAGTACCGGTAAACACTTGCAGTTTATTCTGCTGGTAGGCATTACAGATATTTTTACAGTCAGGTATTTTTTTTACTGAATCTACCGAAGAGTAGCGCAGTGCGGCGCACTTAACGTACCCTAGTAAGTAGGAACCTAACGTGACGCATGGCCGGTATGAGCAAATGCTAGGTATGCTGCACCAGGGTACGAACGAACACGAGTTTCGGAATGTGGCATTAGAACATTCCCGAAATTTTACTGACGTTAGTAGCCAAACAAGGCGTTCGACTTGCGCTAAAGTACCGTAAATGCTAACTAGAAAACTGCGCTCGCTTTTCGCGGGCACTGCCTACAGAAGCTCAGCCGGATTGATTGAATGAATGACGACTGAGGGCAATTCGATAATTTAAGTAAGTAGATTCTCTTTTCCTGCACGTTACTTTAACCATTACGTAGTACTTAGGAAATAAACACGCAATTATCAGGCGCTGATGCAGATGCATAGCGCATTGCATGACCAGAGTTGAGTTCAAATTACGAATTTCATAGTAATCTAAATTTACTCGTAGCCACGTAAAAGACAGCTCTAGATTTATTCAGCGAAGGAAGCACATCTAACTCCCAGAGAACGGCTACCGCTCCCTTTTTAATAAGTTGATAGTGCGATTTTTCGAAAGAATCGCATCAGGGACAGTCATAAAACGTCGGCAAGCTAAGCAGTCTTGAGAGATTTTCTAATTGCTAACGGTACTCGTTATAACAGGTTTCCTTTTACTCGGCAGCTCTAGCTAAAGGATTACCCAACGAATACGGTCACACTTTACAGTAGATTAGGCAACACCGCAACAGCAAGCGCAAATCTGCAATCACCGTTTTTTGAATTCAGTCGTTTGAAAATAATTTTCTTTGACAAAATTTACTTTGTAAGGTGTCTCCGTGTTTTGCTGATTTTCCAGTCTTTTCGATTGAGGCTGCTGGTTTCTTTTATAAAAACAGGTATATCACCCGCTTTTGTTAACAAACGTCACGCAACCATGCTGTATTCGGTTTTTGAACTACATGGGACTTAAAAGTTTGCCGGTTCGGGCATATGTGCAGTGGTATCCCAGCAGCCGTTTTTGAACAAAATGCATAGGCAATCACTGAGGTTGTGAAGTTTAGTGCCGATGTCTGGGTTTCGATTTAGTTCGCATTTTATAAATTATTTTTACAAAAAATGGTTAGCAGACACATAAAAATATCGTCGGTCATTGGCCAGAAGTGAAAACGGCAACCTTGCTCCTCAGAAGTGTATACGACAATCTGCCTCTTTCCTATAGAATAGACTGCACGTGCGCAGTAAGTTGTGGTGACCGACGGACAGACATCATGAGTTACAGTATAATAGAGTATGTGCTGCGAGGATATAAGGCCACCGCGCACTTGTGAAATTAGTAGCTACCGTCACTGTGCAGTGCATATAGGACTGGGTGGCGGTGACCGATGAACAGACATCGCTTTTCGCATTCGCCGTAAAAACAGTGGACCTCCGATAAGCTTCGGTCAATTAAATATGTTATACCTCACTACAGTAACTTATATCCCGTTACAAAAAAATTGAATGTTTAAACTTGGCAATTCCCAGCGCCAGACCGGCTGCTAGACAGATGTACGGAATATCTACAACATTTAAAACACGGTTTATACAGTTTACCATTCTGTTTCTGGTACGAGTACGAGTTTCTCGTACTTAAGCAGGGAATGACGACAGGCACCCGTTTTCATCCGCGTTATCAATAGGCATCCCTTGTCGCACCCACTTTGGCTACAGGCACCCCTTAACCAATCCGTGCACCCCGTCGCGTGCGAAAGCTGTTATCCCTAGCTACGTTTGTGAGATCGAATTTCATAACCTAAAAAAATTTTCAAAAAGTCATTGCACTACCAGCCGTGCGCATTCGACCTATGCCGGTCGATCAGCCAAACCGGTCGAGTGCCTGGTACACGTTTTTTGTGAATGCCTCACCCAGTCATGTTAGCTCATCATGAAAATCTTCGTGAAGTTAAGAAACTGAAACATAATATCTTTTTTCAGTCATCGGGGAAAAATTAGAAACCGCGGTGCCTCTACTTGTGGTCCGCGGAAAAAATGGAATGCGATAAGTATCTAACAGAAAAAGGGTGCCTATATCCAAACCCATTTAAATAACCATATTCTTTGATGGTGAATGAATTCCCGGCTTTTATAATGCCTTATGCCGGTGATGATCTGAGATTTTCCCACAGGTGTCAATGGCATATGCCGATCTACTGGTCTGCTTAACGGCCATCCCGGAAGCCATTGTGTCGTATCATTTTGGAAATCAGTGGTTCCTCGGCCAAGCGGGCTGTTCCGTATTCGTATTTCTCAATTTCTTTGGGATTAATGCCGGGGTCGCCAGGTAATGCTAAACTCCAGAAGGTGTATCGCTTGATATTAGGGACCCACTTTTGGCGAACTGCTGACAACAAAGTCGAAAAATTCGGTATCATGGGCGATTCGCTAACACGGATCCATTGCTGGATCCGGGTTGTGCAACTTTGGATCCGTGTCCATTGTTATTCACCGGGTGATTCATTAACCCGTAGGGGCTATTCACGAACCTTTTATTCTTACCACAAATTGGTTGTGATAGATGTATTTTAAGTAAAAATTTTACACGGTACACTTTTTGCTGGTGGATGAAAAAAGGATGAGCTCGTCCTTACTACGGCTAAACGAAGTAGCGCAGACCTTCTGAAGGATGAACAGCATCTCTACGAAGGACTAATTAATACGAAGGCAACATTACGGAGACGGAGCCCAGTTTACCAACACTTTAGCTAATTTTGAATAGTTTTGAATCAGTTAGGATCATGACTTTGGCAACACTAACTAAGTCATAAAAACCCTAGTCATAAGTAAACTGTTGACAACTTTTTGATGAAGAATGTTCATCGAGTTGCGACATAAACGTTTTGGCTGATTACTGTAATAAGTGAAACTAGTATATGTATATAAAATAACGTTGTTTAGGAAAGGTTCGTGAATCGCCCATGTTCCACCGGTGAAAGCATCGACCGGTTGGTATTATTTTTATTTCATAAACGCGCATACATTACAGATTGAAAAGAAACAGTAATCACAACAACAAAATTTCATTTAAAGCTGCCGCTCCATCCACTGTTCCGAGTACTGAAGCGGCGTTGCCCCGCTGAATTTCTAGTGACAACCGTTGACGGAGAAATTCATGGGAGCGAGGTTCACCCGTGTGTAGTTGAAGTCGTTTGCCGATTTCTTTTACTAAGAGTATGGCTAGCTTCCCCCATGGCCCAAGAGTTTCGAAACCTAGTGGAGAGAAGACATATCTACCCTCCAAATACGAGTACAGTCGTAATTTTTTATCTTCGGCCTCCGCAGCAGCAGCTCCTGCGGTAGCTGACGTAGATTGCAGGTAAGACATCGCAATGGTAACCACGCACGTCGCGTCCCACGCCAAGCACATACCACGCTTCCAGGCAAAGGTTGTGCACCCATCCGGACGGCGATCGGACGTGTGGGATGTACCCCGGGGTTCCAGCTTAGCCGGGATGCCGGCTGACACTAACGATCTACACACAATACTGTTCAAACCGCCGTGGCGTGCGTGTCTTCCAGCGGAAAAGGAGCAGGATAAGCCGTGGTGTCCATACTCATCTACGGACTTGTGACACTTCGCACATGAATGCGGCTCGCAGATCTTTACGCCCAGTCTCAGACCCACTGAAATCTTTACTGTGTCATCGTCAAGGAGGTTACCGATGTGTGCAGAGGGCAAAGCATTTAACCAAAGGCCTGCTTCCGGTGTTGATTGAGCCAATAAGCGAGCACGGTTGACCTTATCGTCGCGAAAAATGTCCAGCAGAACTGATAAAGACACATTACACAGCGGGAGGTCCCATCTCCGTTGTGCTTTGCGAAAAGTTGGTTCGGGAAGATCTGAGAGACGCGCTTTCAATATCCACAATTCCAGGGCGCCTGTAACATCTGCAGCAGGGCAACCAGGTAGCAGTAGTGACACTAAGTCGGATACGGAATGAATCGAAGCCAAAAAGGCTGGAAGTGCTAATTCCTCCGCTCGACGAATGCCAATACCGCCCCTGCTCACTGGGAGTGTCGCCTGCCGCCAACACGGGTAGTCATCGTGGCCAGTGCGCACATTGCACAGAGACTGGAAACACAGCCTCAGAGTTTCGTCTAGTAGGTACAGCTGCTGCGGTTGTTTCCAGGCGTTGCAGCAGCGCAGCATGTATATAATTTTAGGAGCTCCAAGGCAGCTTTTGAGGAGGAACAGAGCGTGGTGCCGTGGCAAAAGTTCCAGTCGCTCGCAAGCCGGTTTTAAAGAAGAGCACTTCTCGGCCATGGCTGGACCAATGGCATCATCCAAAACTGGTGCACCTAACAACAGAAAGTCGAGTCTGTTAGAATGCGAAGTCTTGGAAACAGGCGCTGAAAGTCTGCAGTGGCGTCATTTCGGGCTTTTTCCGTTCCGCCGGAGATGTGTAGCTCGCACTTAGCCTCGTTCACCACCAGACCGATATCACGCGCTTTCTGAATGATTTGGGCAAACACGTGTGCGACTATCGCCGGTTTACCGCCCACAGTTCCGTCGTCCAAGAACCAGGCATTAAGATCTGCATTTAATGAGGCCACAAGCGGCTGCAGCGCGAGACAAAACAGCAATGGGCCCAGAGGATCTCCCTGTTGCACTTCCGATTCAGATGACAAAATCAACTGCTCGATAAACAAGGAGGAGTGGTTACCGTATGCGGACAGGAATGGGCGAATGGGCGAAGCGAAAAAAATCGACCGGTTACCTGCGTAAACTGAATAGCGAAAAATACAATGCGCCATTCTCATTTTAAAGCCATTGCGCACTATTGTTCATGAATCGCTCTCTGAAACGAAAAATTTATATAAAGCTCTTGCGTTGATTCAGTTGTTTGGCAGCCTGCACAAGAAACCGTATTCGTGGATACACACGAAAACTTACGCTTTTGCGCGCTTAAGAGCACATTTTCTTTTTTATGACACTAGATGTCAGATCATTTGATAAGTTGCCGTGAAATCCTTTAGTGGGGGTAAAGCTTTAAACATGATTCCTTTAATAAAAATGGCCCGCTACATAGCGTCAAAAAAGGAGAACATACACTAAAACGTTCGCTTTCGCGCACTCCAAATCATATATCATTTTAAAACTCAATGAACTGAAAACCGTCTGCGCGCGCAACATCCGGTTGCCAAGATATGCCGTAATAAAATGTGCGAAAAGTTTAAATACATTGTTGTGTACCAAAAGTCTGGTTATTACCCGATCTTCTTGAAACTTTGCTGCAAAAGACACATGTGCATAAAGTCGAAAGTGAACAAATTCCAGGTTCGTGCAAATAGTATTTTCCAATAACTTTAAATTGAATGTTGAATTTGCGAAATTCATTTCAAATTCGGAAAAAATGCTATGAATCTGAAATTGGTTCACTTTCGGCCTAATGCCCATGTGTCTTTTGCAGCAAAGTTTCAAGAAGATCGGGTAATAACAATACTTTTGGAACACAACAATGTTTTTAAATTTTTCGCCCATTTTATTACGCCATATTTCGGCAACATATATTGCACGCGCGAACGGTTTCAGAACCCTGCATACAAATTGTTTAACTTTAGAACGACATAAAGTATTACAAAAAAGTAATTTAGAATGCGCGAAACGAAAGTTTTAGTGTATGTATCACATTTTTCACACCATGTACCGGGCCATTTTTTTTAAGTATGAACAAATGCGGGTGTACTGAAACACTGCGCATGAACCGATTCTCTTCCAGTTTTGCTTGGAAATGAACACAGTAATCACCTTAACCCGTAAAATCCATCTTTGGCGTTCGCTTAAATATACGGGTATTTTTTTGCGCAGCATGTCCATGATGACCTTTGAGCGCTACGTCGCCGTTTGCCGTCCGTTATTAGCCCGAAAAGTCTGCACTGTGGAGCGCACGCGCAAGATCATAATTTCTTTATGGATTGCAGCAGCCGTCTACTGCTCACCGTGGCTGGGTCTGACCGAAGTGAAAACCATCGGAGGGACAGATCGAGAAATTTGCGATTTCCGTTTAACGCAAGAGTACTACATATTCATCTTCGGCGCGGATTTATTAATATTTTACTTCTTCCCGCTGTTAGCGGCGATTACAGTCTACATAAAGATCGACGAGTCGCTACGAAAGCGCGAAGCTGCGATCGGCGTATTCTTTAGTATAGCGGAAGAAGGGAAACTCTCAAGGGAGTCAACAATACGGTGTAAGGACGAGAAGGAGCCGAAGAAATTCCTTTTGCCTACTGCAGTTTATGGCGCCGATCACCGCTGTGCGCTCAACAGGACCGAGTCAACATTAACGCAGCGCAGCACAAACAGGGCACGTATACAAGTAAGCATGGCAAAGTACTATGCCGCATACATAGTGCATGCAGTTCGACAACGATGGTTTATCAGCAACCAATGAACCAATGATAACAGTGTAACAATAATCGATACGTATGATCTGGCATACGAATGACACCATTATCGATACGTATAATTTGCCATACAAAATTGTCAAGCTTACAACGTTTTTTAGGTTGAGCGAATGCTTTTTGCTGCTGTACTGGTATTTGTCATTTCCTGGCTGCCATTCCGTGGTTTGCTAATGTATAACGCGTTTGCGGCGACGCCGTGGCTCAATGAATGGTATTCCTTGTTTGCCAAGACACTGGTTTATCTCAACTCGGCAATAAATCCAATCTTGTATAACATTATGAGTGCGAAGTTTCGAACGGCATTTTATCAAACTGTCACTTGTAAAAGTACGTGACTTTGTGCGATTGAAAACCCATGGTAATCTTCATAAGTTATGCTCGATGTTTGCAGAAGCACACAGATCGTCCTAAAAGGCCAGCGGCTTTAATGATGTTCGAGTGCCCGCTACCTGGAACAGTATCAACCTAAGTTTTATTGTCATCTTTCCTGGAGTCTCTAGAACTGTGATTTTTTTTGCACTGAGATTGTTAAAGTGTACTCATAACGTCCAAATAATCAAAGTGTTGGTTGCACAGTTCATACTTCGATAATAGCATTGTCTTTTAAATGTGCAACGAAAAACTTGATATGATTTGAAGCCATAATTATAGTGGCAAAAAAACTAGGTTCTAAATGAACAAACTGGTAATCTCGCCAACCATAAGCTGCTTACGTTACGGTGACGTCAGCCAACAGTAGCGTTATACGCCGCAATGACTAAATGTCTGAAGCCCACCGCCTTTTCCAAAATCGCGAAATCAAAGGACGATTTTCAACTCTACTCAGCGCAGAGATGTGGACGGTACTTTTACGTTGTTTTGTTTTAGAACGTACCGCTAAAACTTTCCGATTACCGACTGTTTCATCCCGCTAAACGATGATTCTGATCCCTTCTCCATAAGACATCCCTTAAAGGGGCGGGAGAAGTTCCCGCTGTTGTCCGGTTCCCTTAGCAATCTTCCAGAATGGGCCGAATCGGCGAGTAGTTTTCTGTTGCTTTCTCTTATATTTTATCTTTTGCCAGTAAGGCGAAAGCCAGCGACAGTTGTCCCTGCCACCGTTTATACCGTGTCCTATCTGTACAATGTACATACATGGTACAGTACAATTACGATAGCAGTTATGGGACGAGCCTGTGGTGCAAATAACACCAAAAGCTCTACATGCACTTTGTATTCTTTTCAGGCTCTGTTCAGTCTAAAGTGTCAGTCAATAACGTTGTATTCGCAGAGTTGTTGTTATTCATTCAGTGCAGATGAAAGCGTGGTGTTGACTTGACGATTCCAATAATTTTGTACTTCTGCAGCGTTAAAACATACGCTGCACTCATACTCATACAATCGAAACAGCCGGAAAGACGTACGTGTATAACCGCCGTAGGTGTATAATTATCCAGGAGGCCAGTACCATAGATTACTTTCGGTAAACATAAATTTAACGGTTGTATTACCGATCTAGGACGCCATCGTCTTTGGCATTTATTTCCGAGCAATGTGAAACAACAATAAAAGACCACCCAACAGAACGGCTGAGCCAAAAGTGCCAGCCGAAAACATCGACAGCTGAGACGTTAGGAAAGCAATTAAGCCATCCGAGACTGATTAGTCGTCTAAGAGAGGTGTGTCGTCAGGAGAGAGAAAATCGCAGACGCATCCTATACTCCTGGGGAAAACAGCGTTCAGAACAACGGAGTCTCACTCTCCACTCGCTCTGCAATTTCAGTACAGTACAGGGAATGTCCATAGGGTAGCCGGTTGCTGCGACGGTGAAACGTGAGCTTTCGTCGCAATGTGGTAATCTACTCCAAGAAGCGGAATTTAATACGACCTCCGCTGCTGTCGGCATGGCTTTATTGTCACAATAAAGGCTTTATTGTGTAGTGTTTTCCGCCTACACATTTTCGCAGATTCGCATACAGAGGAACTTTCTCGAATGAGGAATAGCACACAGCGTGGATGTCCAGCAGGGGGATCACGTTCCATGCATTTCATGATTGAGCAGTTAAAATCAGAATAAACATTCTACAGGAAGAATAAACGTACAGTAAAACATCCAGCATCCACTCGACCGAAAAAATTTTCTCTCGCTTTACTAATCTTATGCCACTCTGTAAAAATCAAAAGGATCCGCATTTAGTTGTTGCTGGAGCCAACAGAGAACTAACCCGGCAGTCAGCAGATCTGTAAAAGCGGCTCATCAGACGAACCCAAGCGCGCCCAATCATGCTTTCTTATACCGACTACGTATCCACGAATAAATTTTAATTATAATACAAATGCATGCTACCTGATCAAAACGCAATTTTGTTGTTGTGATATGTGATAAGATGTCGCTGATCTGCCATGTAACTTGGTTTATTGAGATAAAAATTTCTGTAATTAGAGGAATTTACCTTCTTAGCAAATAATGCACTACTACCGATTAAACGCTCGTGGCCTTCGATAAGCGTTGACAGGAATATGAATGAACACGTGACTTCATTCCAGTCTTCTAGAAAGAAAATAAAACTTTAATACCTTTGCGCATCATGAGTCGCATCCAGCCGGGCGGTGTTGAGCATGTTGGTAATAAACACGTTACACGGGTACTTAACAGAAAATCAATATGTAAACCGGATACGCTGCAGTATACTTTGTAGTTCGATGCCTTTGGTCTCACATTACGGGTGGGCTAGCTTTATATACCGGTTTGTATCTTGTATATTCCGTTGTGCATCCCAGACAACGCTAATTTCCGCTTTTATAGGTCGACTGATGGATTAGATTAGCGGCTTCTTTGTCCCTTATTTTTTTATCACTGACGCAATTTCACCCGAATAAGCAGCGGAGCCCACAAGGAGCGGAAGTTATAGTTATCACTTATTGCTATAGATTAAAATGAGGATTCTGGCTGTGCTACGGCATTATAGCGGATATTATTGCACATATTTATTGATAATTCTCCGTGTGATGCCGGTGTACCCGGCTCCGCTGGTTAACAACACGACATCCATGACTTCACCATTGAACGTAGATAAACTCGCCCTCCTTTTACAAATTTACAACCAGCTGGTTAATATTTCACATGCCAGCGAAAGACAGTTGTCACATCAAATGAGAAAAATTATCGATATGTTTTCTAATTTCTCTGTGGATGTGTTTCCATTTGAGGAGCCGATTAGCGAGTTGACACTGTCGTTTCGCATTACTGCCACCACGATGCATTCAGCGATTTTTTTACTGGGTGTGACCGGGAATGCCCTGCTTATCGTGGTGGCATATAAATCGAAGTTTCTCAAGCAGCCTATGTATACCTATTTGGTAAGCCTATAGATATGCATAGTGGTACCCGTTCAGTGAGCTGTTCAAAGCTTTTTGTTAGTGAATCGTAATTTATTTCTTTGATTCAAATCCACAGAGAAATGGATGTTAAAAAGTACAATGTTTTTAAAAGGCTGGAAAAAAAGCTGCTTAATCAAGGTGGTGAAAACTGCCCGGCAGTGGCAGTATCTATCTACGTAGTTAATGGCAGGGCATTTTCAGCCTGATCATACGAGTTCTGTATTTACCTGGATCGATATTTAATGCGAAAAGTGTTGAAAGCTTGTGACATCAGTTAGAAGTTGACGTCGCCCCTGAGATCCCACTGTGTTTGTAACTTGGCTAATAACTTTCTCTTATCGCATTTTTCATCACTTTGTGGTTTCGAAAGAGGGAGAAGTACCGTATATTCCGCCGCTTCGATTAGGATTAAATGATGTCAACATGGCTGCAACAGTAACCTTTACTACAATATAATGACTGAGGTTTACTACTGGATGTCAGCTGCGTACCGGAATTTTTTGTAGAGTGTGTCAGCAATAAAGCAAGCTGTAGTCTAACTTATTTCACCGGAGCGTAACGGAAGTCCGTTTCAGGTTACGAACAAAAGTAAAAAATGTTTTTCTTCCATGACCTTTTTATTCGCACAAACCAGTCACATTGCACAAATCTGTATTTTCTTCCTGTCTTTTTTCTGTTACGGAAGCGGGAAATTACCGTACTTCCTCAAAATAATTACATCCCTTTCACTTAGTTCTATTGTTACGTCTTAACCGCCGTCCACCATCTAGAAGCTGTGAACACAGTGTTCCCGTTTAGCGTAGCTGGCAATACTTCCCTACACACAAAGAAGCCGAAAAAGGTTTAATTGTTTTTGCGCACTATTGCTTACAGGCTGAGCGGGAAATAAACGTACAGAAAGGAAAAAGCGGATCGTCTTGGACCGCTTCCCGGTACTACTCTCGCACCCGGCTTTAGTTAGGGTTGTTGCTGAACATAACATGCTTAAATGCGTGTTGAATAAGGACGATATTCAGCCACACCGGCACCACCCAGCCGGGAGGGGAGAGGTGGGAGGCAGCAGATGACTGTGTTCAGGGTTTTCTGCTTTCCGTAAGGCTAAGACTGATTATTGATTATCGTCACTTCTAAAGAACATCCGCTGATGGAAATGTTGTACTTAATCGGTAGCTTAAGCCTTTAGCGAGCTATCGGCAGTTATACGATTTCTATGGGCATTTCTCCGGACGTTTTTTGCTATTAATAAAACTGCTTTGCTAATCGGAATGGACCTCAAAAACTTCTCAGCTGCAGATGTTCCGCCTACGCACGTTCTGTAATCGATTTTATTCTTATGATAATTGCTGATGGGTGTAATTTATCGGAAAGCCACTACATTTTTAAAAATAGTTTTACTGGTTATAGAATCTATCTGTAGACAGTACGGCGTACTTACGGGTTTTTTGTAAGATACCATGAAGCCAAGCCGATGTGTGTTAAGGAAGGTATGGCGGTGTACAGCATTCATGTAAGTACCTACACGAAAACTGACGACAACTCTTCAGCACTATTTCTCCAAAGTTGTATGATACTGAGTAGGCAAATAATTTGTATACGTAGGTTTGAAATGTAGTTTCAGAAGATGTTAACAAATCTGTTAACCAGAAGCTTAATACAAACACATTGTTCTTATTTATTGAACTGAGTAACTATATCTCAAAGAAAAAAAAACAGTGAGCTAGAAAATCTGCTTACCCGACACATGCGAACATTGCGAACGCTATATTAGGTGTTTGCTGTATAAGCAGCTTAACGCTTGCCACTTTTTGGAATTCGCATCATTATTGGTGAAATGGCTTGTGCACCCTATTCAGCGTGCGCAGTGCGCCGATACATCTGAACGATGAATTAATTCTCAACTTTTATTCTTTTGGTAATACTGTGAGATTTCCGTAGGTGTCAATGGCCTATGCCGATCTGTTGGTCTGTTTAACGGCCATTCCGGAAGCCATTGTGTCGTACCATTTTGGAAATCAATGGTTTCTTGGCCAAGTGGGCTGTTCCCTATTCGTCTTTCTCAATTTCTTTGGAATTGATGCCGGGGTCGCCAGGTAATTCGTAATATCAGAACATGGTTCACATACTTCGGGAAGTTCTCCTAGGGAAATGCTGACAACAACAAACAGAGTGAACAATCAATTTACGTAGCTTCCTACTCGTACTTCGAAGTACTGCCAAATAAATAAGAACATCATTAGGTGCCTGGCGGAAGGTGGCATTATAATATTTTCTGTAGTGGGGAACGATCTAGGTAATTTTGCAGAGCGCTATTTGTCATTGCGACAAATGCAGCCAGCGTAGGGGCACCATTCCGACTGCCTGCATCTCGTTAATGGCTCTCTGTTGTTGCCTTTGCGTGTTCAGAACATTGTCTGTCGGGCCTCTATACTAAACCCTATTCGCGTACTTGTAGAAAAACTTTGGCTTATACGCACTCAAAAACACTTTTTTGGTTTTAGTGATATTGTGCCATCAAATCATTTAGTTACATTGGCGCGAAATCTATTCGTATGAATTATGTGTTAAACAAGATTCCGTAACTGTTTAAACCAATTCAGATGTACTAAAAGTCGAACAATGAAGTAATGTTCTTCCAGTGTTGCTGGCAAACACGGAGAGTATTAAGTAATTCAAACCGTAGCGTAGATTTCAGCGTTTATTATAGAAAAATCCCCGTTTGTAGGAGTAAATAAGTTAACCGGTATTCATTGTACAGCATGTCCATGATGACGTTTGAGCGCTACATCGCCATTTGCCGTCCATTGTTAGCCCGCAAAGTGTGCACCGGGAAGCGCACGCGCAGGATCATCATCTCCTTATGGGTCGCAGCCGCCGTTTACTGCTCACCGTGGCTTGGTCTGACCGAAGTGAAAACTATTGAAGGCACAGATCGAGAAATCTGCGATTTTCGCTTAACGCAAGCTTACTACACGTTCATCTTTGGGGCGGATTTGTTGTTATTTTATTTTGTTCCGCTGTCGGCGGCCGTTGTGATCTTCCTAAAGATCGACAAGTCGCTACGGAAGCGTGAAGCTGCGATTGGAGTGTCTGTCTGCACAGCGGAAGATTGGAAATTTTCAAGGGAGTCGACAATGCGGTATAAGGATGAGCAAGCTTCCACGAAGCCCCTTCTGCCTGCTATAATTTACGCCTTCGACCGCAATGCTGGCCACTACACCGTCCCTAGGACCGAATCAACCTTGACTATGCAGTCTTTGCGCATCGCAATCAGGGCACGTATACAAGTAAGCACGGCGCCGTAAACTGCATACAGTTCAAAAACTGATGACCTTTTACACATGTCCAACGACGTTGAAATCGTGGCACTGAAAGCAGAACATTTACTGTAGGTTGAGCGCATGCTTTTTGCGACTGTATTGGTATTTGCCATTGCCTGGCTCCCATTCCGTGGGTTGCTCCTGTACAACGCTTTTGCGACCACGCCCTGGCTCGACGAATGGTACTCCTTGTTCGCCAAGACACTCATTTATCTCAACTCGGCGGTAAATCCAGTCTTGTATAATATTATGAGTGCGCGTTTCCGTAGAGCATTTTGTCAGACTATCACTTGCAAAAGTAAGTGCACTTAAAACGAAAATGTGCCCGCTTGACTCACTTTATAACCTGTCCTCGATTTTTGCAGAACGCGAGTAACCCAAAAAAACAGCAAAAGATCAATTTTGTTTCCACATGACTTATCTGGCAGGAAAGCTTACGTACCAAAGACTTATGAAGTTCAGCTGAATGGTTTCCGCAGCGTTACGTTAACCTCCGTCCTAAGCCCCGGCAGAAAGGTTTATGCGGCTCCTCTCAATTTAGAGCATATCCCCGTCAACTCGTGTGCCGGTGACATAAACATTCTACTTGTCACGCGTTATGTCATAATAAAATTTACAGCGCCTAGTGTGTTAATGAGCACGACAAGGCCTATTGTGCGCCATTTGAAGGCTCTCAAGCATTCCTCTGTTATTATGCGATGCATCAACACATGGCGTGAGATAACTGTTTTCAAGTGAAGACAAATCTTCTTTGTTTTTCAACGCTAATGAATTCCTCCCCATAATTATCTTGCTGGAGAATGAATTTTTCTTTGATATTGTGAGCTAAGTGTCAAGCAATGGTGGTATGTTGGTCGCTTGTCAAACTTGAGTGCAAGTGTTCCTTACAGTCTGTTCAAATATCATTATTATTATAGAGTTTTCATAATAGTAATAACTAGAATTTATGTCAAATGAATTTGCACTATTATGCAAATTTAACTCGCTTGAGTAAGATGGGCAAAGACAACGCAAGAACAAAAAGAAAGGTGAAATAAATGGTACTGTACATAAGGTAAGTAGGTGACTCTGTGCAGGAAGTTTGGTGAATGCAGCCTGTTATACAGGTGCAAGTCCGTGCAACAGTTCCTGTAAACCAAGAGCCCTGCAGCACTGTTTCAGCGGTACGCAGAGGGCGCTTTATACTATTAACTGATTACCACTTAGGCCCGGTTACTATTAGCTGGGCCAGGTTACTAATAGTTGACTGCCACTTTACTGCAGTAGCGAGTAGTTACACAATATTATGTACGTCGCGTCTGGTTGCGAAAAGTATCCGTGCTTTGCATTTAAGCTGGCATCTGTGAACGGCGCATGCCAACCGGTTGCAAGAACGACACCCTGTAATGCCATCCGTAAGTACCGGGTGCCCCGCAGATATAGTAACCGCGGTCGGCTTTAGCAGAAATATTGCGGATTAACAGGTCCCCAGTCTCCAGGACCTGCGAATATTTGGCTGATTATAGTGCCATGAACTCCTTGTTATATAATATACACAGAAGTGTAGGCAATATAAAGGCCCGATATGTCTTATTGAATAACTATTCTGTTTGCGAATACTTCGTATTTTCCTGATGTGGGACGGATTATTTTAGCGGAAGCCGGGCTGCCGTTGAGGTATTGGGTAGCTTGATACAACCATACGGGTTTTGTCGGTGTTGGTGACCCGATGGTGCGGCACATCAGCACGGCATCGTTATGTGCCGTCTGAATGTATTGCTTGGTGGATATCATGATGCGGGTAACGGCAGTGTTGTCTGGGCAGTTTCCCTCAGATGTCCCATGTTTCAGACGACTAAGCCGGCCTGCAGCAAGCGGACAACTTCTTGAGAACTATCTACGATTATCGTTAATACGCGGAAAGCTTTTTGAGGGTTAAACCAGGGACATTATTAATTATTTCGTTGCATTCGGACCACCAGGCCATTACAATTACCGTTCATTTCACTGGCACAGGCGACGCACACTTTGGCTTAATGTGAAAACCGTTATTTTCCGTTTCACTCGGGAAATTAGTTTTTGTGTATCGCACTGGCATACGCTTTACATGGCAGCAGATGCGCTTTAAGTACTAGTAATAACGAGAGGCGGAAAGAGGGTTCATCTCAGTTGGAGGCAGTTGGATCATCTCAGTTGGATGTTATTTACACAATATAGTAACCCTACCTGCGTTATCAGTTGTATTAGTCGTTTAATTTTACCGATGTTGACGACTACTGTTGTGGTCGCCTGGATTCGTGACATCAGTGTCTCGCCCACACAGGTATAATCTCCACTGGTGGCGGTCTTAACGCAGGAAAAGGTGAGAGTGCTGCTGACGATGATGTTAGCGGCGGTGATGTTACTTGAGAAAGTACGCGGATCGGCTGATTCTTCGACGGTTGACACAAGGTTACCGTTGCGCATCCAAAACAGTGTAGGCTGCGGGCCGTTCATGACAGCGACTTCGCAGCGCAGAGTAAGCGGCTGGTGTGAAGCAACCTGCACCAGCTGCGGTGGTTTAGGATTCGTGAAGGCCAAAGATTCTGCAACGACCGGAGAGACAAGCTGTATTTTGGCATCGCAGTATGCTGTATCGTGGTATAGCCAGACAAATCAATTTTTTTTGAAAGCAATCTGTTACCCACAAAGCTCGGAAGACATGATATACCTTGTCTCTGTTTGCAACAGAACTTGGTAAATCTTATTGGATCATACAACAGATTACAATAACACAGCGACAAAAGAAGACTTTAAAAATGATCTGGATCCGAAAAAAGAAAGGCTGTTTTCCGAAGGATTTCACGATTAAAAATCAGTCGCAATATGGCGAAGTCTGTCGTAGTACAGCTTAAGCAAACTTGCTTTAACAGTACTCGTACTACACTAATATGAATTGCGGGTAATTGCGGGTATCTGATACCCTTAGAATTAGAAGTATCACGATGAGTAGGCTGTACAACGGGCGGAAATCTTAGAACAACCTTCCGATTACCGTTCTGCCTGTTTCTCTGCGTGCGCTCTAGCCCCGCAAGAACATCGTAAAGCAACAAAAGACAGTACACCAGGGAAACACTGCGATAAGCAACGTTTCCCCTGGTTTATTTGTACGTACGAAATATACAATGAGCACCTGCAGGCGAACATACCTGTGCTTGTAGAATGAGCACGTTGAATAGTTCCCTGTTTGACATTCGCCTGTTCGGCATCCTGTGTTAGATTTATTAGCATAAAAGCAGTGTTGCGATCCACCATAAAAATAGCTACAGTCAGCGTATGATTATGCGAATTTTCAGTCGTACTATAACCGTGTACATAAATGTTTCGTTACTGGCCACAACAAGGAACCGTTCTTTACCTGTGTATGTTCATAGTTGAAGTTGGCAAAGTTTCGCGAACACTGACTCCATGTACGTACAAGATGGACAATCAGCGCCGCGCTGGTTAAGAAACGCATATTTCAGAGATGTGCGTATCCCGATAATGGCCACTGAACTGTCGTTAGAATGTTTAGAATGTGCGAGCAATCGGAAGCGAAGTGCTCGACGAATGGTGCCAGTGCCATCGCTCTTTTATATTGTAGTGGACCAGTGATGTCGAACACGGATGCCGGTCCCTGAACGCCATCTTGTTACCAGGGTGCGCGGTATCGATGGCGGACCCGGCATTAATTGTTCCGGTATGAGGCGACTAGGGAATTGCTGTGATCGTTGCTAGTTAGGGTATGTGTGCTACGTCGCACCCGGACATCAGCGCACCAAAGCATTCACAATGGGCTTAAATCGCTCAGTTACATTATGCTCCACTTGTTAGCACCATGCAGTTTATTTGCTGCCTACCAGTTCATATGAATTTTTAACAGATTGGGAGTCCAGGACTACAAAATAGCGTGCAACCGATCAGGTCGCAGTGAAAGTCCGTGACTATCTTTAGATACACTGCGTCATCTCGTTTAACTGGTGCGTGCGGCAACAAGCCACAAAAGCTTAAAGCTGCTCACCATTTATTTGCCTATCGTCCAGTACACCCTATGCTTAAATTTCACCCGTTTGTGGCGTTCGGTGATGTTTAAAAAGATGGCCAAGGTCACACATAGGAAGGTATTTTTAGAGGAAAGAAATCTCAGAGGCCGAAAGTGGAAGGAATTATTAAAGGCGTGAACTTTTCGTGGTCAAAAACAGGGAGTAAAATTTTTTTATGGTCAAACAAAGAAAGGAAATTTTCTTCGTCGAAAATTTAGCTCAGACACTTTGCACTAAAGGTTTTCGAACGAAATGAGGTGGCGTTTTATAGATGGATCTGACTTTTTTGCGACCCGAGTCCACAACCTAGATTCTTGGGTTTGTCACTGCGCTTTTGTTCTTATCCTGTATAACTGAGCATTCCAAACCTAATGGCTTCAAAGAACTAAAGTACTGCACTTGAGCCTGGAATCGGCAAGTCTCCAGAGGGGTTGCGGTTCTTTTACAAATATGCATTTATATTTAATGCTAAATGTATTTTAAAACAGTTTGTCCACGTTCGATGTTGGAGTAACAAATAAGCGGTAGCCAATAGCAGCTCGTAGTAGCAAACAATTCCTAATATTTTTAAGAACTTTTTATAATATATTTCTAAATATTTCTAAATATTTCTAAATATTTCTAAATATTTCTAAATATTTCTAAATATTTCTAAATATTTCTAAATATTTCTAAATATTTCTAAATATTTCTAAATATTTCTAAATATTTCTAAATATTTCTAAATATTTCTAAATATTTCTAAATATTTCTAAATATTCCTAAATATTTCTAAATATTTCTAAATATTTCTAAATATTTCTAAATATTTCTAAATATTTCTAAATATTTCTAAATATTTCTAAATATTTCTAAATATTTCTAAATATTTCTAAATATTTCTAAATATTTCTAAATATCTCTAAATATTTCTAAATATCTCTAAATATTTCTAAATATTTCTAAATATTTCTAAATATTTCTAAATATTTCTAAATATTTCTAAATATTTCTAAATATTTCTAAATATTTCTAAATATTTCTAAATTGTTACAAATATTTCTTAATATTTCTAAATATTTTCGCGCATTTTCTATTATATTCAGGGCTTGTAAATATGCTTCTAAATAATGCTAATATCTCATATACATTGTATCATGTCACAGAGTATGTTATTTCCAAGGTGTTTGAAAACACGAAACATTTCGAAAAAATACTTCGATAAGAGACGAACCTAGGAACGAAGGTTCGAGGTCTCGTCACGAAGTGAAGGTCTCGTCACGAAGTATTCAAATCCCTTCTAGAAAATGCAAGCTTGGCTGAATCATGTAACTGTTCTCATTAAATTCATAATAAATTTCGGCCGCGGTAGTTTTCGTCCTTTTTTTGGTCATAGAAATTTTCTTCCTCGTTTGAAAAAAAAATTCGTTCCCCTTTTTCACCGAAAAAATATTCCTCCGTTTATTTATTCCTTTCTTTTTTGACTCCGGCCTGAAAAAAGACCCTTGGTGATAACGATTAGTGAGTATGAGCACTTGAGAACTGAGATTCTTATGGGTGCACAGCTTACATCGCCATGCCATCTCTAAATTTCCTCTCTAGGCTCTACGGTATTATACAATAAGATCTTGTTTTCAGAAGAATACACGAGAAAAAAATTTCAAAATTAGGTTTTTCACCGTTAATGAAAAAGTCAGTTGAAACGGAAACGCCTCTGGAAAGTAAAAACACCGGCATCTACTGTAGCAGGCTGCATTTCGAAACCAATCGAATTCATATGACTATTGACTTCACGCAGCAGTCAGCTCATACGTTTTATTATTATTAATTGAAATAAGGTCGCCTGCAAAAGCCAAGACCACGATTTTTTAATCGTGCAGCAAAACAATTCGTTTGTTATGTATACATGTAAAATTTGTATCAATAGATTCATATATCCTTACGTCCTATTTTTTTAAAAATTATCTCCTAAATCAAGATTAACTTTTTCAATAAGTAAATAAATTTATAAAATAAAGCATCGCACAAACGTTCCTACCTTTATCTTCAAAAAAGTTTTAGGTTTTGGAGAAGGTCTAGAAAAATTTTTAGAGGCTGTAGTACTTAAAGGTTGTTAGTACTGAAAGGTTGTTAGTTTTGGAAATTTTCTCTTAAACGAGCACTGATTTCTTGATCAAGTTGTTAATTTTATAAAACAAAACATCGCATAAACGTTCCTACCCTTATTTTTAAAAAATCTTAAGCTTTGGAGGTCGAAAAAAATTTTTAAAAGCTGCAGTACTTAAAGCTGAAAATACTTCGACTCGGCCCCGTTGCGCGGGACCGTTACCTCTGATTTTTCAAGCCTTCAGAGTTTCGAAATTTCAAAAACATTTAGAAACCTGAGTACCTCAATATTTCACGGTCTAAATTGTCTAATTTATATGTAATTTCTAAATACATATCTAAAAGCCGGCCCGCGGCCCGTATACCGTATTCATTCACGTAGTGGCTCTGTTGTACTGGTGGTAGCATGGGCATTCACTAACCTGCGTTGCTCTGTAATTCTGGTGGTAGCTTGGGTATTCATTAACCTCGAAATCTAATGAATATGTATTTATTTTATTTTAATAAATACTGAACAGCTTGACTGAATGACTGAAAATCTTATAATTAGTAGCTAAAGATACAGCCTGCGAGGTCACCTTGGGCAACCGTTAATTGTTTCCCACAAGTTTCCATTAATTCTGCGCTGAAATATCGGCTGAATGGTTTTTTATGGACATCGTGTAATGGAAAATCTGTAAGAATTGTCAAGTAAAGTTGTTTTTTGGACAGTAGCATGTTGTTCTGCCAGTGAAACCAAAATCAGTGAAGGGATACAATGTGCTTGGAAATTTTAGTTTTCCGGTAAGTTTCCTCATTAATTTAACCGTGTACATATAATATAAACCATGTACTCTTTGGATGATGAACAGTACAAGCGCCCCGCATCAAATGTGCCGCCCATCGGCACATCCGGGATATTCGGAGCGCTGCCCATTTAGAACAACAGAAAAAACAAAGGCTATTCAGATTAGTGTACGTAAATTATTAGAACAGATCAACCGTATAGAGGAAGAAGTCTAAGAGAGGAACACAGCTAACAGCGAGATTGTCACGCAATCTTATCAAGAAGACGTCCAAGACGCATTTCCATTTCAACTGCTCGATCGCTTTCCGTGCCCGCGCCAATATTTTAATTTTTGCCGATTTCCGCATGTTGTGGCGAACGATGTTGTCTTTTCCCATGAGTCATATCAAACAAGAAATCCGGATATTTCACGGATACTAATTTTCATGATTATGTAAACTACGAGGGCCATTTCATAAAAAAGGGCTATCGATGATCGAGCCGTTTTTCACTGCAACATTATTCCATTTTGGTTTACAAATACTGCGTTTCTCTAGTCTTTGTGCTTTGCAGGTACATGTTTCCTAACTTTCGAAACGAATTCACAAAAAATTATGCGACATGAAAGAGATTGACCCGAAAAAATTTCTGTTCGGTTCTCCTTCTCTTTTCACTTTTAGCCACGCAATGATTTCTTTAAAGCTAGAAATATTTTAAACCAGTAACAGATTAAGGTATGTGAAAATAGCGGGTATGTAGAATAGCGGGTGTATTCCAAATCGAGGTCGAGAAAAATATTAACTCAGGGATGAAAGTGCCGATGTGTGAGTTTTCCTGGTGTTGAACCATACGTATGATGCCGTGAAATGAAGCATTTTAAGCCTACTCGTAGCGTCGTAGGCAGCCGTGCACGAACTAGTGCCAGTCGCCAGCCGCTGGCGGTAAAACCTTGGCCATTGCCCTATGATGAATGATCTAGTTATAAATGCTCCAGTTTTTAAAAACATAATTCATAATTTTATGAATACTTCAAAGTATTTTTTCATATAGATTGCCTTTTTTAGGAAATGGCTCTTGTAGTGGCAATTAATAATTAAAAATATGAAATCAGCTAACTTTACCCGAGTTCGGAAAACTAAAAATTAAAATGATGCACGTGCTGATTGATGTAAGTTTTACTGGCAGAGCGGAATATGACAGAAAAGCAAAAACTTGGCGTGGAAAGTGTACACCGTCGTCAGCTGTCGCTGCACAATATATATATGCATTATGCAATATCCAATTAGTATTGACAAGGTGTATGTACCCCCTATCCGCCTTGGTAATAGTTGGTATTGATGTGTTGTTATGCAATATCTTGACCAGGCGAGCATGTCGCGTGCGGCGGCGTGCAACACCTTGCCTTGCTGCTTTTCCAGCAAATGAAGCCGCGAGCCGTGTGCAGGCTGCTCGAGATACAGTATCGATTTATACCTATATACTGCACTTCAAGATTATTTATATGCAGTCTTGCCTGTGTAGCGTACAGTATAGTACTAGCGACTGTGGTACTAGTACTCTGTATGAAATTATACGGTACGTACCGTGCATTCATTCCATAGTGCTAGAAGTCGAACAGACGCGGTGGTGCTGTGACGGCTGTTGGCAACACAGAGATCTGCAAATTTTATGATTTTTAGCTGTCTACGCGTGATTTAGTTGAACGGGCGACAAACCTTCAAACTTCAATCACTGTGTTTCCCCTAAAACTGACCGATTTGATTGAATCGTTTGCTGTTGTACTGGACTAATGGCGCTCGACAACGATCAGCTACAGGTTAGAAACAGATGCATGTTCATTGTTCAGGGACCATTTTCTATTCATTTTTACGTTACTCGACCAAGTGGTATTTACTAGCCCAATCGCCTTTTTTAACTATTTACTTTTCGTTCTGCCGTTGATCTTAGTTTTTACGGTTTTCGAAATCCTTTTCGTTAGTTTTATTTGTTTTATGCAGATTACCGTCTACTATTTCGTCATAGTTTTGCTTACCTATTGCCACTTTTTCTTATTACTAGTGTTTACTGACAGTGTTCAGTGTTCATAATTTTGAAACGGATCGGAGTCCGCAGCAAATTATTTTGCAACGCAGACGGTTTCGATCAATATGTGTCCAGAGCGGAACACTGAAAATATATTCACATAATATCCTTTATGACGATATGTTACTTATTTTAATATTATTAATATTTCCATCTATTGCATTATTTTTACTGTATATACCCAAAAGCATTTTATTTCTCGAAGGCTTAATGTTATGGAAATGCTGTGTAAGCTGTTTCCCATACATGCAAAAATAGTTCGTCATATTAGTACCACACGACACGACACGATTCTGCACCATAACACAAAATATGTGCTGAAGGCGAAGCATTTCCTTTCTCTGTGACGTTATGTTGAACAAATTGACAGGACAGGTGCTGCAATGCTAACTATATTTCATATGTATTTCATAAGATGCGATATTTCATAAGGAAGCGACTACCTATTTTCTTGCTCAAAGAATAATCTGTATTTCCTGAGCGATTCATTGTATTGATTTTTCTCTACGTTGCTACGAAACATAATAGTACTACTCGACACGCACTTTAAATGAGTTCTGTAACATAAAGTACCGGAAGTTCTGTAAAAGTGAATCTACCAATGGTACAGCACTGAATCTTATAGAGCGTTACAGAGCAACGAGACCATTAGCGTCAAACAGTGCCCAGTTACTGTAGCCGAATTTGCCAACAATTCATGTATTTTTCATTTCAATTTTGCAGCCGTTCCCTTTCTGTTTTTCTGACATTTCAAAGTTGTGGTATGTTGAAGAAATCAAATGACTAGTGAAAAAGCGAAAGACAACTTCGCACGGAAAGTACGGTGAGGTGGAATTTATCATTCCTCGCAGCTCTGCGCTGACGGCTATGGCGAAGTTGCCATCGATACAAATTCAAACATCATGAACCATGCACAGTCCTAGGCAGCTAAAAACAGTTAACAAGCAGAACTGGAATATTGTTTCAATAGAAACAATTAAATTCCCGCTGATTACGCCCTCAAAACTAAAAACAGGATTTTCGACGTACGGGGGCTGAGCATCCACATCAAAAAATAATTTTGACTTGGTAAAAGTACGAGTTCTGTATCGTAACGGAGCCAGGAGAGTTCCTTTTAGATACAGAACACTTTAACTCGGGCGTCCAATCAGAGATAAGGGGTGGTCACAAAATATTACAAAACTTCCGGCTCTGTATCTTACAGAACTCTTTTAAAGTGCGTGTCGAGTAGTACCAATATTACATAGCGTTTCAGGAAATCGACTGTTTAATAGTTTAATAGTTTAATAGTTTCATCTCGGTAGCAGGTAACCCATTAACCTGCTATGTTTTGCATACACAGCATGGGAATTTAAACCTGGCCGAACACAACACACGCTCATTATCAAACTCCGCTACAGAAGGCGTATGATACAACACAGCTCAGAATTGCAAGCATTATTAGACCCATGCACTGGCACACTAGACAATGGCTAAGCATTGACATAAACGTGTATAAAGCACGCAGACTAAACGCTATAGACAATAAGATCCGTATCGTTCGGCCTAGGGTTGTTGATACCAAATGGTAAATGGTATTGTGGTACGGCTGATATACCATTTACCAATGGTATATCAGACCGGTGTCGGATGGTAAGATTTAATACCAGATATACCAAATAAGGTTTGATATACCAAATCGCACATAGTATTATCGAGATTCTTTTAATTTTAAATTTTAGAACTGTCAGAGCTAGGAAATCGATTTCAGGGAGGCGCGAATATGCTTCTGCGTTCTGCTCTGCCGGTGTTATGGTGTTGCATATTGCGTACAACATACGAGTAACACATATAATATGTACTGTAGGATCTCTCTATTTTCTGAGTTTAGTGCTAATATTGCTCACCGCCTTATAATTTCAGTCGTTCGCTTGGAACCAGCATATCTGTATCTCACAAAATGAAATTTTTTGTATATTGCAGCTTCATTTGTTTCGACACAAAAACTGGTTGAAGAACTGGACTACAACTAGAGTTACTAAACTGTAGTCTTTGTGTCAGAAATCCAGCTGCTAACACATGTGGTTCGAGTAAGGAAAATGAATCAATGAAAATGTCCGTCCGGATCAGGTGTTTTATCACTATATCGGGGTGTTCGGCAGAAAATGAAATTATTTCTTGCAAAATTTCCAGGTTTTTCATTTACTCTTTGAACTGTTCGATAGTACGAAGGCTCAAAACATTATTTACCGTTTGAAACTCTAAGCGGATATATTTTTTACGAAAAAATATCTAATACCATAGCATAATTATAATACCAGGTATTTCTGGTAATACCAGTGGTACTAACTGGTATACCAGTGGTAGAAACTGGTATACCAATTTACCAATACCACTGAAGGTGTCAGAGGGCTGGTATCAACAACCCTAGACTTCGGCCGTATCCGTAGTTGAATGAGGAATGGAGCGCGGGTGCTTTATCCTGATGCGACGAGCGAGTTGAACCATGGAGGATCCGTTTGAGCCCAGGCGTCGAAGAAACGCACACGCCACTCAGTACTGTACTGAGAAACCTATTTATCACGAAATAGACGTGTTAAACAGAAGTCTGCTGTAGTCAGGCGCGTTGTATTTGTTGCGAACAAAATTACAGTAAATAAATTATTTATATACTTTAAAACTAATTCCATCCCGCACCTCTATATTAACGTACACTTCTAAGGGCTCGACTGTACTAACCTTTTTTTGCTGTTTACTTTTCTTTTACGGCTCATCTGGTTTTGCTTGTTTAGCAACTCATAAAAACGGCTTTCAGAGTAAGGTTTACTACATAATTATTTTTACTACCTAAAACACCGCTAAATAAAACCTGTTTACCCAAATAAAAATTACGAGCATAAAGGAGAAATTTGAAGCCGTCACATGCTTCACTGAGTTTACTGCAGTGATGATTCCGGTCTCAAAAATTCCCGAAAGTTGTAAAATGCAATAATACAAGAGCAACAATGTGCGTTAGAAACGATGGCGTGTCACACTACAGCCAATATGCAGCAGTAATATAATATGTATCACTTCAGGCTTATGGCGTGTTTTAAAATTGCGCTTTCAGTGAAATTAATGAATACAGTTGTAGGATATTTATCACCGTGGACTTTAATTTTTGCTTTTACGTAGATCGTAACCGTGCGGACGCGGCATTGCGGTGAGGTGGATCTGCATGTGCTGGTACGAAATTTAACATTTTTAATAAATTACTAGCTTTTTGCTTTTATCTTCAAGTATTTTACATAAAAAATATCGAAATTTATGTAAATCAAAATTTATGTAAATTGAAACTTTTAAATATTTTAAACCCTTAATTTGGTATACGAAAACCATATATAAAGGAATTTCGGCTTTTTCTCGTAGGGTGATGTAAGCAATGTCGGACATAAACCGGTGTTCCTTACTGTACACGACTTTGGCTCGAACGGTAATAATACGCACTATAGAATTTAGTATTTACCCGTTATAAACATAACTTCATAAATGTGGCTGATTTATTGTTTTGCTGACAACAGCGACCAGCTTCAACAATTTCCTTCTCCATCCTTCCATGGCGGAAGTCCGCCCCAAATCGGTGTGGCTGAACTTCGAACTGCCCGGTCAGGGCACAAACGCTCCGGAATTGCCCGTCAGGTATGTAAAAGCGCCGCTTGCAGTAATCAAACGCCATGTAACTCCAGTGAATAATGGGTTTATCTGCAGTTTTAAATTTCCCACACTGGACGAGGTGGCTGAGGATTTAGCGGAAGTTCTCCATCAATTAAAGTAAGTTTATGTCCACTTCACTGTTCTATAGGCCGGTTCAGAAGTCTGCCCACCGGGTTCTGTATTAAGCTGATAAGTACATAATAAATATCTGTGCGCTTTTTCCAGGATTGAATGCGTGGTCGGTTTTGGGGAAGGAGCCGGTGCCAATATTCTCTGCAGATTTGCGGTACGGCGCGTGTTAACGAAACATTAACTGACCAGTCGACACTATTACTTTACTGCTTACCCGTAGAGATCTTCAAGTTGTCCTCTGTGCTAAGTGAATGCACGACATACCTTCCAGTGGCTAGGCGTCAGTTATTTCGCTCAGGAATTGATTGCCTTCCACATTTTTGTTTTACCATGTTAAGCACAACTTAGTCTTTGATAATATTTTTTTTGAAAATTTTAAAATCGGTCGAGTCGTTTTTTATTTCATTACTCCGTCAAGAATATAACATGGTAAAAACAAAATCTTGAAGAGAATCGGTTCGGGGGTCAAAATAACTAAAGGCATGTCGCCCATTTAGTCAGTATAGACGGCCACTTGAAGGTCTCTACGGGTAGTCCATGTCATACCTTTCCGTTTCCCTTCTCTGTTATGTCTCATTTCCGTCGGTACTGTACTGTTCACTTGGGTGCGTAACAGCCAAATCACAGCCACGGCGTCGCTGCGATTCAGCGTGCTGACGGTGCTTGTATTTATAACCGGCCAAACTTTTGTCAAGGAGATATTTAATTTTATTTTGCGGAATCGTTTCAAAACCTGTAAAGTACAGCAAAACCTGTAAAGTACAGCATCAAAACCTGTAAAGCACAGTACATCTGATTTCTCCTTTGTAAGTGCTAATAAAAACTGAAAAATACTTTGGTCACCGAAGTCTGATGGTTCAAACACCAAGAGTCTGTAGAACCATGCGCGATGTCAAATAAACAATTATATGAGAATCTTCTTGATCTGCTTTAGATGGCTTATCCTACCAAAATCTCCGGTCTGATCCTCGTACATCCGACTGCAACATCTGCCGGTTTCATGGAGTGGGCCAAGGAAAAGGTAATTTAACATTTCTGCTCTCAGAATAATGCCGCAATGTTATGCCGAAGGTCCCCGATTTATTTCTAATTCACCGAAAAATTAGATAGTAACCAATCAGTCTTGGCGCACCTACATGCGTCGGTAGTTAACTTACGCTTGAGCCTTTAAAAGCAACGGTGGGTCTCAATTTGGAAATGGTCTGCATTTGGCGTGCTCAAATGCACGAGGCAGCGGTCTACAGTGGTTATGTGCACAGATGCGGTTTCTAATCAGTTTACGTTACTTACCGGTATGTTTACCTTTTCAGCTGGTCCAGTGGAATGTGAATATGATTAACCCAACAGCTGAGGAATACTTGGTCATGTACAAGTTTGGCAGCGTAAGTAACGAACTAACTTTTTCGACAACAAAAATTTCTTCCAGGCCAGTTTCCTCCCTATTTTTAACAAGACTTTTTTCCCATTTATTTTTCTGCCCTGATTTGGCCGTGACTCGTTAAACGATGGCTAAAGTATTGCATCTTAAAAGGCGGATGTTAGAACTGATACAATGTGGTACTAGTATACCTATTTGTTTTTGCTGTAGGAAGTGGAAAATTCGGAGGCCAGCGACCGTCAGCGACTGATCCAACAGTACATCCAAGAAATCCGCAACCAGATGAACCACAAAAACATGTTTGCCTACATGGATGCATTTCACAAGTAAAGACATGTTTATAATCAAAATATTGTTTATATTCTTGTAACAACACTATTCGGACAAATCCATCATAACAATATGTATGCGTTGACTCGACAATGTCTATAACTGTAACCGTCCAGAACGTCCGGTGTCCGTGAAAAGTTTCGCCGTAAATTTTCCCCAGTTAGTTACTTCGGGTTTTGATCATAAACAAAAGGGATGGATGAAATGTGTATTCAAACATGTTTGACTGACTGTAAAATGTTAATTCACATCCGGGCATTTGGCACCTTTTCCCGATAACTTGGCCTCGGTCACAGATTTTCTTTTGAACCCTTGATGCGAATTTTTTACCCAGAACTCTCAAAACAGGCCGAAACTTCTTGTGCCAGTTTACCGTCCAGCAGAAACGTCAGGAACGGAATCACGTTTTTTCCTGTTGTTTCTCCTGGGAAACGCCAGAAAAATTGGGAAGGCAAAATTATCGGCAGGACTACGAATGTTATGGAGGTTTCAAAGGCTAAAATATTCCGGTCGTTTTGGACGGTAACAGTTGTCGACGTTAGTTTAAATGCTTTCAATGGAATCATAGCTTTGCTATTAGGTGCATAAGGATTTGACTTTTTTTACAGGAGAGCCGATTTCAGCAGCCAGCTCCGCTCAAATCTCAAGTAGGCTAATTAATCATCACAAGCAGCTTCTTTATAAATTCTCGTACAGCCTAGATATTCCTTAATAAAACTGACGAATGCAGGTGTGACTGCCTGATAATCTGCGGATCAAAAGGGTCGTTTCTGCACACCGTCGTAAGAGTGTTATCTTCTGCATTTTTCTCATTAAAATATGAGCCTCTTAATGATTTATTGTTCACGATTTTTCAGCAAACGATGCACACGCATATGAATCCCCAGAATTCAACATTCGTCAAGATCGATGACGTTGCTGACGCTTTACTGGAAGCGGTACGCCTGAGTCGGCCGTTATGTTAATGCACAAATATGGACACAGTATTTCCTGTTTTCGCAGCCGGAACAAGTGACTCGCAATCTGCTGTTGTTCGTCAAAGGGCTCGGAATGTGTAAGGCTGACCATCACGCCCGCCATGCTCTGCCGTAGATTGTAACCACCATATTAAGTGTCGCATGTCTTTGCAGTGACAACGGTCTATACTCCGGCAGAACGCGCCTCCGTCCAGGTGAACGCGTCACACGAGCGCCGGCGTATATCCATGCATGAAGCGGACACGCCACGCTGTGCTTCACCCTCACGGCCAGCCACTACCCAATAAACGCAGAGGAATAGACAACCCGACCTCTGTCTGTCGACTGGCATGGAGGAAGGCATTCGTGGACAGAGGTCTTCTTTATGGATACGAGTTTAAAGAGAGCTTATTACAGCGTTCTTCAGGTGGAAATTCACCTACAGCATGTTCTTACACTGGCGGTTGCAGCATTTGAAATAATTCAAATAATATTCTTCTGCAATCAATAATAAACTATGGGTAATTCTAGCTACTGGTAGTTTTACTGGAGCTTGTAGTGGTATTCGCAAACGCGACTGGTCCATTACCACCACCACTCTTACCGCCGCCCACCATTAGCGACATAAAACCAACAAAGAAACCATTCAGAATCTCATACCGGCCACGCTGGAGCACCAGAACTAAAAGTGACCTCTCTGCCTGTACAAAATTCCGCAACCCGTTAAGGCCATTTGCGTAATTTGGCTTGTTTCACCATTCAAACTCGTCGCTTTCATCGTTTTTTCAACTTCCTTGTTTGCTTATGCCTCTGAACTCGGATTTTCCATCTGCTAATGTCTGTTGTCCTTAGTCAAAATTTACAAAATTTATATTAAAACTGTTCTAGGGCAGACAACTTTTTACACCTCATGCATTACTGCACAGGACATGAGCTAGGTCTCTGTGTTCTTAGTGCCATCTAATTAGAGGTGCTCTAGTGCATGTGGGCCTGGCCGGTTTTCTGCACAGTGCACAACACTTGCGCGACTAATACGTATTTCAGAGTCAGAGCACAGCGTTGGGGAAAGGCATTATTGAAGAAAAATTTTGAGGATACACGAGGGATAGCCGGATAGGGAAAGCATACCGTGGGATATAGCGAGATACTAAGGATACAAGTTAAAAACTTGTCTCGAAAATGTTAACGTGAATATATAACCGAACAAATAATTATATGAACGAACGAAGTCGTACATATAGTTGCGAAACTTTCGAACTGAATAGTTTTTTATATAGAGGGGAAAATCATTTTAGTCGAACCAGTTGACGGCACTGTTCTGCTGCCGTCACCCGGCTGGAGCGTGACGTTACGTCGATACACACGGTTAAATCCAGTGCGGTACATAGGCGCCATGTTTAGCCACAACGTCAAATTCCAGCCGGGTGACGCAGCAGAACAGGGAAATCGTTTGAGTAAAGCGGTTTTCCCCTTACCTTCATTCAGTGATGTGTTTTTGAATTTGTCACACAGTTTTTTCAAACGACTGTCTTACACAGCAACAAGATCTATGAACAAAAACACCGTGATGGATGTTTCGGGTCGAATACTATGTTTCGAGACGTATACTGTCGTATAAGATTAGCCTTCAGGCACATCGAAGTATGAACTATGGAGTTTCAGATTGTAGGTGACCGAAGCATCATTTCGCATTCAGTAACTCCTGGGTATAAATTAATCGTTATGTGTGCCGTTGAAATTATGCAGGTATTTTTCCTTTTGTTTCGCAAACAGTGTTGAACGTGTGGCTTCAGCTGTTGACTGTCTTTTTTAGAACAAAAGCGATACGAAACATTTGATTATATTCATCCATTTTCCGGTGCTGCCATATTCGTTAGTTATATGATGTTATCCAAACGGTTCACCATGCTGTGCTTATCGGCTGTACGACTGTACCCATCTTACGTCGAGCGTAGCAAGATTGAGCATGTTTGTTTGTTTGTTTGTTTCTGACTATTAATTCAGTCGTTTTTCGTGCCGGCTACAAAATAGCAGAAAAACGTGTTGTCAATAAGTCTTTATTCTTTAATATAAAAAGGTGCCTGCGGCAGGTGTGACATTGGGATTTCTGCGGCCTTTTGGCGTACCAATACTGCAGCGCCTCAGTTAACGTGAGTGGCCGCAGCAGGATTTCAATTTCGGTCAGATGACACAGCTTGTCAAAGCTTGTCATTCTGAGGCTACAGCAGTTGCGTGTTCGAAATTGGCGAATCGCAGTCCACTCTGCCGGCTGATTCTTTTTTTAGCCGATTGGGGCATTTTCTGTGCGGGTGGAAAAGTGGCTGTTAACCGGTGTTCTGGGGATCTCCAGCTCACATCCACTCCCCACACACTGTTCGCAATACGGCTCGCAGTGTTTCAAAGACAGCGCGCCGGTACTCACCGCTCAGAAGAATATAGATGGCCTATAAAGAAAAGTGACGATGTTTCAAAACTGCAGTATGACGATGTTTCTGTGGCCGGATAAATAATAGTGATGCGGCACATGCATCTTATCACACCGTGGAAAATCAGAATACTCATCTACGAGTAGTCTTCATAATTCATTCAGAATTTACAACCAAATTAAAAATTGTATTTGAACCAAAACTAGGGGACACCAACACAACACAAACCGTCTCAGATTTCGATTGTCTTAGAGAACTTTATTTGAGGTGACAAAGTGAAATAAGCTTTTACAGATTATAAGTTTGCAAATGAAAATTTAATAATAACGAAGGTGAATCTGTGCGTGGCAGCTACATAACACATACCGGCGTTCCAACTGAGCCCAAGTGCATCAACGAGTTGAGCCAAAAGAACAACAACGGCTGGCTGCGCCATACCGACGGGAAATATGTGATAACGATGGGCAGCGGAGAGTAACATGCAACGTACCAAACAAAGGACCCCATAAGCATCACCGCGATCGTACGCTGACGTGACCTGGCGGCCGTTTCCAGCACATGTGTCTGCCAGGAGCGCAAGATATTAGCGATGACGCACAAGTACAGCGCGCCCTGTAGACAAAACGGCACAATGGCGCTGAGCGACAGCAGGAAAGGGACGACTGGATGGGGATACTGAATGAGCACACAAGCGCCGACAACCGTACTGAAAGCATAATATCCAAGAATACCCTTTACAAAAGGAAATGTGGCAACACCAGCGATGATGCAGCATACTGTCACTAGGGACGCGGTGGCCCGGCGGCTGGAGATGTGAGAATAGCGGTGAGGTAAAAGGATGGCCACAAAGCGGTTGATGGCCAGGGCGACGGATATCCAGTGGATAATGGTGAAAAGGAGGTGTCGGGAAAATTGCACCAAGACGCATGGAACTGCGACGTAGTGTTGGAGTTGCGCTATGAAGACGGTGGTGGTGAAAAGAAAGGACGACAGCGCTAGCACCGTTTCTAGACTGAGCAGTCCGATCACCAGCAGGTGGGCACCCTCGCGGAGGTGTTGTTGCCGGAGGATGGCACAGATTAGTAGCAGTGCAGCCAGCACGCCGATCCCGGAAACGGCAGAGGAAACGCTGTACCACCACAGGAGCGCATCGGTATCAAGAGAAATAACAACGGGGGCGCTTGAGCTGTTATTGACCATGGCAGACATTTGTGGTGCAGATCGGTATGTGGCAACTGGAACTGCCCGTAGCTATCTGTGCGTTAACAGATTGTATAAAACCACTATCTTCCGTCGGCCGAAAGGATGAATGAACATGAGAAAAGCTCAGATTCTTTTTATTATCTTGGGTTGCTTTTCTGTGTTGTCGGCAGTTGCGCTCATGACGCTGATGTCCTAATGAAATATCTGGAATCGTTTATGCGAGCCATATTAAGCAATCAGCAATAGAGCGCTGGTTGACAGGGATCGCCTACTTAACGTGTGTATGGCATTAATTCAATATAATTGTGCATGTTTTCCGCAGACTTGGCAAAGGCCGCATCCTTCGTAATGTTTTCCGCGGCGGAAGAGCCACTGACGCACCACGTCCAGCCCAGTTGTTGTATGCAGCTATGCACCGCGCCGAGACTAAGGGAAAAAGGGGCCAAGTTACCGGGCCGGAACTCAGTGATTCAATCAATACCGGTAAGTTCTAGGAAAATATATATTTCATTAGTAACCATACGAGGCTGATCGAGACAAGTTGGCTGGATAAACAGCAGCTACGGTATACAACACGAATATGTGCGTGTGCGTGTGCAGTCCAGGCTCTCTTGAGCTCAACCGCAACGGGTAACTAACTTTAAATAATGCAGCTGCACGCTAAAGCTAACTGCCATTCGTTGGTAGATGACAACGTTGTACAAGCATGACGGCAATTGGTGATAATAATTACTAAGCTGCATCTCTCCCCAACTTGCGTCAGCCTGACACGTGAGTAAGGCGAGCATCGCTTACAGTAAAATACGATAAAAAGCTGAATTTATCCCGGTTAACATGGAACGGAACTTTATGTAACAAAAAACAGTTATAAACTCTCGGCTACGAAGACCAACGTCGCTCAGGACGAGGAAGCTGTTATAATTATCTGCGTACTTCTAATGATATCGCAATCGCTTTGTAAGGTTGATTAACGGTTGTTTCAGCTGGCTGTTTATGCGTTACATGCATTTGTCTTCACATATAATGAGTTTATAACGATTGCACTTACCGATTGCACCTACATATACTGTAATGAATTTACTGATATATAGCCGTTTTCGAAACAACCAAAGCACACAGAGTACTACCGAAACATCAACAAACAGCGCACTTTTAAAAGACTATAACAAGAAAATTTCCTCTGATTTCTCCGAATCCTGTATTGTGCCCATCACGCACATAGCGTTCCCTCTTTGAATTTGTATGGAGATCCGCTGCAGGAAAAACTCTTTCGCGCGTGGTTGCCCGGTAGCGGCCGCTGCAAGGTGTCCGATTTTATCGACCAGCTTCTTCGCTCCGTCTCCCAAGGGTCTGTATATTTCGAAAGCCGCGGGGGTGAAATCATATCTTGGCTGAAGCCACGCATGTTTTGTGAGCTTTTTTGTTTCGGCCAGCTCCGCTGCGGCACCGACGTTGACGGATGTCCGGTGTCTTCACTGGTGTACAGCAAAATTAAAATTACAGTAAGTTTCTGAACGCCTACGAATTGTAAGAAACATATATTTGACAAGAGACCCGTGGCCTACAGCTGCTTGGACACCGCAACAGTTGCACGTCTGTGACCGCCAAAAATGTCCCCCCGGACATTTTTGCCCCTGCCACCATCGCCAAAATGGTAACCCTTTGGCCAGAATGATGACACAGGGGACCACCACGACAAGCTGATTTTCAGTCGATCGGTGACCTTTGAAAACTGCCTTTAGCGTTACCACAGCATTACCAGAGAAAAACAACTGCGAAAGTTGTATACTGGAGAGACATCACTGCGGCAATGAAATCTGTCGTGGTCGGCATGGGGGACATTATTGCCGGTCACACACGTCCTTGAAATAATTTTAAACCTGCAGTACTTCTACGAATGCAGCTATCCGCACAACGCAGACGGTCCGATTTTCTGTTAAGCGATTTCTGCGGCAAGTTCTTAATTCCTTTATCTTTGCTCCCTTATTATTTTTCGTAGTTTCACGGGTTTTGTGTGGTGATTCGTTGATCTTTCGACTCTGGACCGTGGGTGTCCTTATTTCAGTTCAACAGTCAGAATTTTTGCGGTCAACAGCTTTTTTAAGTCACCGATAGTTATGAGAAACTGCTTAATGCACGTAACCCGTACATGGTAAATTTTAACAGATCCACATACAGTGGACGCCTAAATGTGGTTACGCTGGGCAATCGGTCCGAGGACCGATATTTTAACGGCAAGACCAACAACAGACCAAAATAAGCCGGTCATGTCCATTGCGCGTAAACTCGTATGCTAAACTCAAGCACTTGGAACTTACATATTTCAAAACTAAATTACCCAAGCGATATCTCAAAAGAATAAGAAAAAATCTGCAAGATTTTTGATGCCAAACAGATTGGTGTCTACGAAATCTAAAATCGGGCCCTTTTGGCTATGAGAGTACAGATATGCGTCTGGTTGCGCGCGGTTTGAGTGTAACCACATTTATGGCGTCCACTGCACTCGCTCGCGCAGTCCCGTGCACCTTCTGCACAGCTTTTATTATATTCCATTCTCATATTCAAATGATTGGTGTACATCGACGTATCAACAACGCAACATCAGAAAATTATGGGATACATGGAGGATAAACAAAGGATACTGTGCGGATACTATTTCATACGCTAATGAAAAAGAATGACCACTTTAACGAGATTCGTGATACGTGGACTGTGGAGAATAATGAGTGATACGCATTTCCGTGCGCGCCACCTTCGTAAAACACGGTAACACTTCGAAAACACAGGCGCCCCGTAGTTTTGAGGACTCAATTACCAAAACATTTTTCTTTACAACTGACACTACTAACAGATCGACAACAGTATTTACGTATTCACGCAGACACGACAGGAACCAACGTTTGAACGTTGTTTCCAAAGTAGGAAACAATATTTTTGCAAAGTTACTTTTCTACCGATAGCGTATACGTAGACCATCATCAGCGTGTTTCGGCTACGTGGGTGCTTGAAAACTGGAACCATTGACCGAAAATTCGTGCAGTGCCCGGGAAACCAAAACACAAGAATCTGTATAACGAGAATGCCGATGGTGTACTGTAATAGCATGTGCTGGCAACTTACCATACTGAAATACGTCCCGTTTGGCTACGCCCTAGTGATAAAATTAACTTTAAGCACCCTACGAGAGTATCCTAACTTATAATAAAGGCGAGGTTTCTCTGAATCTGGAGCCTCACTATGCACCCTGGTTAGTGGTTAATAAAGTTCCCTTAATAATTCTGAAGTTAAGTAGCCGGATTAGTAGAATTTAAGGAAAATTTTATGGTTGAGCGTACTGCTTGCACATTTATTTTGCGATATCTTTCTCAGGAAGTTTAGTTGGCATTGACCGTATTTACCGCTGCATCGCCTCGGTGCTATCCGTGTACCCTCGCAAAAGCACAACTCTCGATGAGACTTTATCCGGCAAACACTGGTGCAGTGTTAGACCGCATATCCCGACAACAAGTTGGCGTGCGCAATATGGTTTTAACAGAACTTATTATTAATAATTCCCTGTTACACTAACGTTGTCCGGGTCGCCCTTTAGAAGCACGTCGTTTGATAGCGGCAGTTAATCGGCCAATCGGATATGTAAACGTCAGACAGGCATGATAGCAATGGTTTTAATCCGCGATGTAAACGTCAGACATGCACGATAAATTAATCATTAATGTAATTACTTAGGCGCAGCAAGTACAATCGCAGCATAGAAAATTATTTAATATCCGTGGAATGACTAAACAAAATTAAAATAACGAAATCTCTGGAAGAGGCTGCCTTTTCTTGTAATGCACGGTGTAAATCAGCATTTACTCCGTTACACTGGCAGTTTTATGCTATTTTACTTTATTAGAATAGTAACACCCTTTACCAATGTTCCGTGGTCCATTAGAGTCATTTAAGATCTACCGATAGTGTAATTTTGATGAAGAGTATGATTGATAAAACTCCTGCAATAGTTTTGCCAGAAAGCCGACACCCGTACAGCGCAAGAAAAATACCGGAATCACTAGCGGAATGCATTTTTTCGAGAATACCAGCACCTTGAACGCTTCAGCTTTTTCATCAGCGCATGCCACCGTCACGCCCAGTTTCGTTATCCGAATCTTCATCGCGCTGGTATCCTTCATTATGAATTTCGCCCTTCTTATTGTGCACGCAGTGCGTCCGGGTTATATCAGTCATTTCACAACCTATCTGATGTTTCTGTACATCAGCAGCACCGTTTATCTAATCGGAGCGTCGCCGTTTATCTTTTTGAGCGAAGTATACCGCATCGAAATGGATGATTTCGGTGTATACGCTTGCTTGACATTTTCGTATTTTCACTGGGTGGTCAGTGTCGTGCCGGTTTTGTGTCATTTACTGATGGCGGTCAACAGATTGTGGGCGTTACAGTCGCCCATCCACTATCGTGACCATCACCGAAAGAAAGTCGCTGGCCAGATTTGTCTGTTAACAGTAATCCTCGTACATCTCATAAAAATCCCGCCGCTATTTGCCTTCAAACCGATACCCTACGCCATTCACACTGACTCCTCAATTACCTGCTCAAAGCCACAAACGAGGGTTACTTTTACTGGACTCTCTTTGATGCGGCGTTATATCGCTTTGCGCCGCTTTTTATCATTGTCAGGGTGTATTTGTATATTATTTTCATACGATTCCGGAAAAGAAAGAAACTGAGCTTTGCTCCGGGTAATTCCAAAGCGAAAAACAACCCTGGCATTAAGGATGTCCAACGGGAAAGAAATGTTGTACGATCGTTTCTGATTCTATCACTGACCACGTTAAGCGTTATTATCTGCTGGCTGACCAGTGGTTTCTGAAGACATCCTCCACTGTTGTCCATACCGCGACGGAGTACTGCCATTTATTGTATACCATTCAGCTTTTCTTTGACCCGCTTATGTGGATTCTTAGCTTACGAAAAGCCGGTACATGATGCTTACCTG